TTGGGACAGCTCGGGCAAAATGTTACTTGTTGTGCGCAAGTTTTAGTTTGCAATTTGGTGCCGAGATGGTGAAATGGGCTCGAGTCTGCTGGGTATTTACGGCCGTTTTAAACGGACCGACTTTTTTGTCAAAATTTTCGACGTTTGTCTTTCAAAAACTTGGAACCTGTGTGCAGTCATTTTAAACGTGTGACGTGGACGTGTGCAACTTGTGTAAAAAAAAATGACGCCGTCCGTGAGTTGTAGCGCTCACTTCGAGACAACACACACGACACAACACAAACCGCGGAAAACACATCATGGACACCGACATGGATATCACGACCACCCAGCGTGGCCGGCAGACCAAAACCCCGGCGAAATTCCAGCAGACGGGCTCTCTCGGTGCCGCCGTAGGCGGTGGAGGCTTGCTCTCCAGCAAGATAGTGCTGCTGCCTGGCATCTCGGGGAACACTCATGTTACCACGGGAGGCGCTGCCGCCACCAACACTCAGAGCGAGGGTGGAGCAGGCCGCCGGCGAGGGGTGGCAACCACTGCTCCTACCCCCCCGGGAAAAGGAAAAAACAAAGCGGCGGACGCGAAGCAACAACTGCAAGCCATCATGGCGGACCGCCGTTTTTCGGACGACACAGCAACAGCAGACAGCATCGTCAACGTTGGCAACAGCGACGATAGCAATAGCGACAGCGACAGATGACTCACACACAACCCTAGCTGACTTTCTACGGTGAGGGGCACTCGTGGTGCAGACGCAGCAGCCCTCGCGTGCCTCTGCAAGGGTACTTTGGAAAGTGCTCCAAATACTTTGAGAGGGTTGTCAAAAAGTTGGAACGAAGCGGAGCAAAGTTTTCGCGCCCAACTTCGTTCCAAATATTTTTGAAAAAAATGGACAAATGCCTACATACAGGTTCCATTTTTTTGACACTTTCAAAAATTTTGACAAAAAGTCGGTCCGTTTAAAACGGCCCTTAGGGCGCGCAGACACCAGACACCAGACACCAGACACCAGACAGCCATGGCTAAATTTTGACGCCCCTGTGCATGAAAATTATTATTTTTCTCGTGCGCACTTACTCCACCCACGATCCCTCTAAACAGTTTTTTTTTTGTAAAACAAAACAAAAAGCGTACCCCTAACGGGCCACACTTTTCAAAAAAAAAACTATTAAAAAGCTTTGTCCAGTACCACTTGGAGCAATACAATTAAAAAGCGCTGACGGGTCACCTCTTGATATTTTGGGATACCTACGGTTCAATCTCACGTTACCAGTGGAAACATTGGCTTTGTTTACCGAACCTGGGTCCAGATAACATGTTGCTAGAGAACAGCATCATGAACGCCTTTGGCGCAATTTTAGACTGGTGTGGTGAAGCATTATCTTCCAAGAATTCTGTGCTGAAAATACCCGCAACCACCGTCACCGACGGGATCAAACTGTTCGTACGTAGGAGTAGACAAGCCAAAAGTAGCCGTTACGTAGGACGCAGATAGGATATACCTGGAGAGGTATGTGGCGAGACAGTTTGGTGAGAGCGCGGAGCCCCCGTTTTTCTCGTGAGTTCGGGGCACTCTCTCCTTCCGCTCTCTCTCCCTTCGTGCCTTCTCTATCGCGTGCTAATTCATCCAGTTAAACAGCAGCCCCAAGTCCGCACGGCAAGTACTGTTGCCAGAGCTCACGAACACGCTAGTGCTTCTTCCCGGGAAGATCTGCTTTGACAGAGCGGACCACGGCTTTGAATCAGGGTGACGCCGGGGTTCCAGCAGCCAGCGTCAACGACGCTGAACTGGACGCTCGGTTGACTGGCGGCATGGAACAGCGGTTAGGCGAAGCGATGGAAGGCAGGATGCAAGCCATGATGAGCCAGGTGGTGAGCCAGCTTCCATCGTTGATGAGGGGAACGTTGGATGTTGGAGGTGTTCAGCAGGAGGAGGAGTCCGGCGGTGACGTAGGGGCATCGACAGGGGCCAGCGGTGACGCTGCCGCCCCGAACAGCAGCCAGGGGTCCGCCGCGACGGGCACAGTGGGTGTAGGCGGCTACGGCAGAGAATATGGCTCCCAAGGTGAGGCAGCCGCAACCGGCGGTGGCGTTGGCGGTGTTTTCGTCAGCGGTGATGTCGCTGGTGAGGGTCTTTTCACGGGAGGCGGCGGAATTTCGAAACTCGCCGCGTCTCACGTAAACCCACCACAGCTCAAGAAAGGGGCCGAGCAGTACCCGGGGTGGAGGCAGGATATGATCGTGCAGGCAGGCATTCTCGACATAGGCGATGTGTTCTCCGGCGGCGGGGTGCTGCCGGACATCAACAAGCCACAGACCGCCCTTCTCGAGCAGGGGTTTTCGTATGCAGCAATCCGCAAGACGTATCTGGCGTGGAATTTCCTCTCTGCCGCGTTGACTACTGAGACGGACAAAGCCATCCTCCGTCGTTGCACGAACCCAAGGGGAGCCCTGCGGCAACTAGATGCGGCATACCTGCCGGAGACGCAGGGTGCACAGCAGCAGCTTTTCAGAGAGTTCCAGCAGTACCAGACTCCTCGGAAGGAGAACCCCGTCGCCAGTTTGAACAAGCTCATGGGTATGGCCAACATGATGCGGCAAGGGGGCGGAGCCACGGTAAACGACCAGTTCGTGTTCGCCCGACTTATCGATTCGCTGCCCAACCCCGAATACGAAGTCACCAAGCAAACCTTGTCGGTGGTCCAACCGCTGACGAGGGATATCCTTGTACAACAGCTCTCAACCCGATTTAACCTTCTCACCGAGGAATGGAGGAAGGAAGGAGAAAAAGGATCCGGGGGGGAGCAGGCGTACATTGCGGGTGACGGCACCGGGAAGGGGCGGCAGGCTGGCGGCGGCCGCGGCAGTAAGAGCAACGGCCGTGGCAGCAAGAAGAAGGCAGGGACGGACGACTGGGTCGACCACCGGAGGTGTTTCCGGTGCAACCACCGCGGGCATAGGAAGCCCGACTGCACCACGAAGGAGGAGGACTTCCTGGAGCAGTGCGACACGTGTTCGGGCTTTGGGCACAACAGCGAGAAGTGTGCGACACCCACGGAGGAAGCGTGCATGGCGGTAGTGGAGCATGCCAACTTCGCGGTGGTGAGTTTCGAAGAGCAGTACGACCGCGCGGAGGAACTGTGCAAGATGGATCCTAGTTGGGAGAAGCTGACCGAAGACGAGAAGGAAGCAAAGGTGCAGGAAAAGATAACTGAAAGTTTCTAGGGTGGACAGGTGGTGTTGCTAATACGGTACGGCAGGTTGGCCGTAGGCCCTCAGCGCCGCTGATTTGCGGTGGGGGGGCCGGACGAAGTCGCGCGGAGGTGGCGCGCAAGCACAGCATGGACAGAGGGGCCATGAAAGTCGCACAATTGACGGTGCGC